GCATGTCCCACAATGGGCACGCAATTGCGTGTCTTCTAGTTTGATCACAACTGTGGGGGAGGGGGGGGGGGAGGGTCTTTGTTTTGTCGCGGGGCCGGCGTCGACAGGCATGGGGACCAGTTCCATGTCCCACACAGGATTGTTCTTTTTTAGTCTCTAATGTGGTGAAACACAGGAATTATAACAGAGTTTTACTTATGTGTTTATTTGCACCTTTTCCATTTTTTTTCTTAATGATTTTTCATGTTTTTTGTGTGACATCAATACTTTTTTGGTGTTTTTCATCTGATGGGGAGGGCCAAGGAGATGACGACACAGACTATTATAAATGGTTCACCACACAAAGGTCACCCTCTGTTTTTATATATTTCTCTGTACTCATTTTAATGCACATCAGCCATCTTCTAGTTTCTAGATCTCTATATTTTTAGGTTCAGATTCCACCTAAAATCTTTTCTCATGTTTGAGTTGTCCTTTATCATTTTACTCCCGCTAGGGTAACAAGTTTTGTTCATACATTTTTCAGCTTTACTGCATTTTGTCATTTTACTAATAAAGATCATACAGCAGGCACCAAAAACTTATGAACTTAAGGAGGAGGAACAATGCCCATTTGGATTTTTCTCATAATCCAAGCAAACACTCATAAAGATCAAGACAAACAACAACAAGGTAACTTATCCACATTGTTTCCCATCATTTGCGCAGCAACATAGTTTTTAGTTCATAACAAAAAATAAAGAGGAAGAGAATCATGCAACAATTTTCTTCTTCTCTCCTTATAATGTATTTATTGTTAAAGAACTTTCAACTCATTTTTTTCTTCAAGATGCACCAGTAGTATCTTTTTGTGCGCTCCGCTTCTGGCCTTCTTTTTGCTTCCCTCCTGTTTGTTTCTTGCTGGGCATCCCCTTTGAAGCACTAGGCATACTAGTAGTATCCTTCTGTGCACTCCGTTTGTCACCCGCTTTTGGACCCCCTCCTGTTTGATTCTTCCTAGTACTATCCTTTGAGGTACCAAGGACTCCTGTGACAACAAGATTTTTTTCTTAGTTTTTAGGTGCAAACAAATGACAGCAGCAGAGTGATGAGATTTTAAGTAGTAGTCCTTTTAAAGTGTGAGGATTGAGGCAAACCTGTTGTTTGCTTGCCCACTGTAGTCTTCTTGTGAAATTGTCAGCTGGGGATGTGTTTGTTTGTGCACGATCCAAACACATGGTCATGCTGACCACAGTGACTGCAACCAATTTGTTGTTTTGCTTGTATTTTCTCCAAAAATGTCTTTAATGCTCCTGTGGACGCCCCTTCGAAGCAATAACATCTGGATCCTTTAGGTTTTCCCCATACCCATCAGGGTGCGACGCGCTCACAGTAGGGTGTGGAGCTCTCTCATCATGCTTGTCTTGCATTTTTTGTTGCTCCTCTGCCAAAGTCATCACATCTAGCTTGCCTCAATCCTCCCACTTTCACTAACCACGTACATATATGTTTCATTGGATGACACAGCATCCGAAGCCATTTCATTCAGTCTGCTAGACAACAACATGTATCTAAGGTGATGGTCCCCTACTGTTAGCTCCTCGGGGATGCCTACCTCAATTTTCTAATGTCTTTTCTTTGCTTGGGTCTTCATCTGTCAATGTAGTACTTCTAAGGTAGCACCGGCAAGTTGAGATGTGTTAATAACCTAAGTATGTGGCTGCACACAACGCCATCTTTTTCAAACTTTCCACAAATGTAAGCAAAATCCTCTCTTTGCATATCAACAATGATAATATATCTCCGAATCCTGAAATCTTTCTCAGCAAGCATCCTTGTCTTGTACATCTCATACCTTGTGTTTTTCTTAACGTCCTCTACATGCAACTGGCTTGCAAACCTTATAACTTTCTGAAATCTGTAGAATATCGCTCTGTTGTACTTCTCAGCAGCCCGCAATTCTAGTTCAGTGCCCAGCCAGTAGGTTGGCTTTGTTTTTCCGGTAATCGAGTCTTGTTCCTTCTCATTCTCCTGTATCGCTTTCAATATCCGCTCATACTCACGCAAAAAGGTAATCACACTGAATTTGGAGCCTACATTGTCCTTGAATATGGCATTTATCCCTTCACCCCGGGCAGTCGAGTGGATGAAAGGGAAGAAGCTTTTCTTGAAATACACTGGGACAAACAACTTTTTGTACTTCTATATGTACCTGAAGTACTTGACATTCTCTACTCCATACTTCCGCGTCACCGGTGGCTGCAACGTCTCAAACTCTGCCTCTGTCAGGCAGTTATGCATGATGTCACCGAAGTCAGCATACAAGTCTGGTTGTGTTGAAAAGGTTCTCACACATCTTTCCCGAACCTTTTTCATTATGTGGAAGAGACAACACCTATGAAAACAGCAGGAACCGCAGACTTCATTGCCACATCTTGGTCAGTGATGACCGTGAGAGGAGCTTTTCGGCCCATGCAGTCCAGAAATGTGTCGAAAAGCCATTCAAATGTGTCCACCATCATGTCGTGCACTATAGCACAAGCAAACAAGCAGTTGAGCCCGTATCCAGTGATTCCAACAAATGGTGCAAACGACATACTGTAACAGTTTGTCTTGTATGTCGTGTCAAAACTCAAACAATTACCATACAGCTCATACATTTTTGTCGAGTAGTCATCTGCCCAGAATATGCACAACACCTTGTTGATGTCCTCGTCGGCAACTTTAAATGCATAGTAGAAATTTGAATCTTCCTTTTGTTTGTTCCTAAAGTACTCAAGGACCTGCAACATATCACCCTTGCAATTCTCTCTACTTATTGTTGTCCTCGCATTGCTAACATATTTCTTAGTGTATGGTGCATCGCCACCTCGCAGGTAAGAAAGAATGGCCATAATCTTCCTAGTGGGCATTTGTACAGAGTTAAATGTCCTGATAAACAACTTCTTTTCCTCTGTCATCTTCTTGTGCGAGATGAGGTACTTGCTCTCGTCTGCAGGGCTAAGGGTGTGGTTGTGGTCCAGGTCAACAACCGTGACAACCCATTTGTCTCCTTTTAGTGTTGCAATCATCTTAGCATGGCACCTGTCATCTTAGCCTGGCACCCGGTTATTTGTATGAAGTTTTTCCTCTTCCTTTTTGCCTTCTCAGGTGGGGGAATCCCTATTTTTTTCTTGCTTCTTGAGCTACCTCTGTTTTTTCCTTTCTTCAAGCACATCCTCTCCAACAACTTTACCCGAGCAGTTGCACCTGTAAGTGTAACACGACACTGCCTTGTCACTGGGTTTAGTTGCATGGTAGTTGCCTGCTTTCTTGATTGCAAAACCACAAATGGTTGCATACTCATTTTAGAATGCATGGGCAGCATCACAAGAATCAAAGGCCATGCCCACATGTGGCACATGGTGGCTCCGTACTTCTTGACTGAAAGTCTAGCCCGAGCCGCACAGACACTATCATTTTATATGAACATGAGTATGTCCTCCAGTGACAGGTGTTCAACATTTCATGTTGCACAGGCCCGCTTTCCTGTTGATCATCACAATCACAAACATTTTTGTTTTTTCCATGTGCGTCTGCTTGTTCACCATTGTCTGAAACATCATCAAAGCTCATGCCATCCTTGAAACTAGGGCCATGGCTGGAGCCAACAGGTGCTGAATCATCACCCAAATCACCATCAAGACTCATGTCCTCAGGGAAACTAGGTCCATGGCTTGAACCACCAGCAGCTTCATCATCCAAATCATCATCCAAGTCATCCTCACCTTCATCAAAGTCAAAATCACCATCATCGTTGTCTTGTTCTCTGTACCTAGGTTGGTACCAGCAACCTTGCTGTCCTTCAGCTGTGTTGCGATCCCATCTCCAGCTAGGGAAACTTTCTGCACCCAGATCTATTTTCTGCTTGCTGCCTCTCTGTTTGTGGAGATGACAATTTTTTGGTATGTTTTTGTTGCTTTGCTGCAAATCACAAATCCGAGGGAGTGAATTAGTGTTTCATTTTGGGCTTGACCTCGTACTGTTCTGAGCGCGAAATGAAGAGAATGAACTCCACGGGCGACGTTGAAAATAGAGGCAGGTAGCTGAGATTTTTTTCAAAGGTAACTATCGAATTCTGCTGTGATGTACTCGTAGTTTGCTTGTCACTGATGTTTTGTTCATTTTTTTTCGCCTGCTTGCACTGAGTATTTTTTTGCCAATGCCTGTTTGAATTTTTTTGTGAGGCATTTGGCATACTGAGATATTTGATTTTTGTTTGAGCCAGTGTGGTGTTATACATCAAGCTGGGCCAGTGTTGTTTTATACATTGTACTGTTCCTCTAAAATGATCTTGTACTTAAGAGAGGTATGTGATAGGTTATTTTTGTAAGAGAGGTATCTCAGCAACACCTTTCTCAAGCCTGCACTACTAACGGAATCAATCATAATCGCTATCTTTTCATTTCCCCTTATCTGAATTTAGATTCAAGATCATAATCCCTATCTCTGATGCATAACTTTTTGAATGATTTTGGTGCAGTATTTATTTTTTCTTTAGCTAACTAGGCACAATAAAGTTTTGAGAGAGGAATCAAGTGATCATTTATCTTTCTTTTTTGAGTGTGTTAAATCCACTTTTTCTTTTAGCTAACCGCCTCTTTTTTTATGAGTACTGTCTGATGGATGCCCGCAAGCAGACTGAACATGAGATCGAAAGTAAACTGAGGCCTCCTTGAAAGAAGGGTTAGATCAACAGCTTAAATTTGTACACACTCGATCTTTTTTATCTGTGTTTTGATTTAACCCCTTTTTTGTACATTTTGTTATGATTCTCAACATTTTCTGTTTTTTTCTCATAGGATCGTTTGAAGAAGAGTAGAGATTTAACAAGACATTGCCTGAACAGTGTAGTATGTTAAATGCAATCACCCTTGTATGCTTTTACAATGTCTACTGCTTGGTTTTTCAATAAGCATTATCAAACAAGGGAAGTTACCCTGCCACATACAGGTGTTGTTTTTGCTGTTTATCTTTTTTCGGCCTAGAGTATGTTCCAAGAGATACATGTTACTATGCAACACTAATGTATCATATGCATTTTTTTGTGAACACAGCCGCACCCCAGGTACAGATATTGAAGATGAAGAAGGGAACCCTGGGAGTGATAGGAATGAAGAAGGGAGACATTAGTGTGTGGAAGATACTAATTTAGAAGAGAGAGGCTATGATGTCGAGATCACCGACAATGAAGCGGCAGAGGATTTGCTGTATGAAGAACTTATGATGGTGGTGTGTAAGAGTGCTTAAAGGAAAGAACGACGGAAAGCTGTTCTGGAACGAAAAAAGAAGGTACATTACTGCTCTTTTCTTTATTTTCACCAATTGGGGCTCCATTTTCTATAGTTGTCTAGCTCAAAAAAATTTCACACACCTTCTTTTACCTTCTATATTTTTCTTTTTGCAACAAAGAGCAAGGATTGAACGAACCACAACCAAAGCCACAATTGATGAGATTGCGACCAAAGCTTACAGCCGGTGTAGCATGCCATACTTCTCCGAGATTGTCAGTTTCGTGTGTAAGAGCCGCCGCAGGGTCTAGCTTGTTAGGAATAGTTGTTTTGGCTATCTACTGGAGCTGGTCGACTATCCTATACCAGGGGGTTTCTGCAGTTGATTGCTGACAATGTCGATACACAAGCAGAAGCAATTGTTTTCAACAAGAAGAGTATTCCACTAAATGCTCATTCAGTGGAGTTTGTGTTGGGGATTCCTTCAGGGGACACAATCATAACCACTAAAGAAGAAGAGGCTGGCAAACAAGCTTTTCTCGCTCTCTTTGGGTTGATAGAAGTCCCAACAATCAAATTCTTCGGCAATAAGCTGATGAATTTTTGTATGTCTGACGACCAGATCATTAGTTGTTTACTGATTGTGGCATTAGCAACATTTCTCTACCCGACATCAAACGCTAAACTAAGCACCAAATATATGGGAGCTCTAGTTAATGTGGAGCAGCTCAAGCAACTAAATTGGTGCAGGTTTGTTCATGATTGGGAGTTGGTGTATATAAAAAAATACCAAAAGGAAAAGCTGAAGCAGAACCGAACAATGATGACACTAGGAGGATGTATATACCACCTTGCAGTATGTCACCCTTTTTTTCAAATCCAATGTGTTCTTTTTATGTGATTAAGACATTTTTGTGTTTGTTTATCTTTGTTGGTGTAGTTCTATATAATGTAATCTAATGTTTTCCCTATTTTTTTTGCAGGTCCGTTGCCTTGATTTTACTGATTTTGGCTCAATTCAAATCCCAACTTTGATGCCTAGGATATGTGTTTGGAAGGGAGATATGGTCAAGCATTTAAGTGAAATGACTATTGGAAGAGATAGAAAGTATGGATGTGTGACAATAAGTTCTTTCACCCTCTTTTTCTTTTTCTCCTCCAAAAGCATGACACCTTGTGCATCATTTTCTGATTTTTAAATTTCTTACATTTTTTTCTTTTGTGTATGCATTTTTGTAGATAAAAGAAGTATCAGAAACTTGCTATAAGGACGGAACAAATGAGTGGGCAAGCACGATTAAGAATTCAAATTTAAGGAGAGCGATAAACCGTGTCGCAGGGAATGCTATGTCTTATAAGGTGTGTGACCCTATGCTTTTTTTATTGAAGTAAACCCTTCTTTTTTATGCAGGTTCTATATGTACAACCTATGCTTTTTTTATGTTTCACTTTTTGTAATGCCTCATGTATTTTTTGGATCAGGTCAAAAAGGATATCTTCCTTGCTTATGAAAACCATATGAAGGATTAAGATCTAACTACCTGCATAAAAGCTAAAGGGCTTCTGCTAGACACGATCCACATCGTAACCAATGCCTCTGGTGAATCAGGTGATACAGTTAAAGTAGGCTCAACAGGAACTGAATTTAATGCAAGCCAACAATCCAACAAATCAGGAGACACGGTCAAAGTGCAATCGACTGAACTTCAAGAGGAAAATGACGGAGGTGTGTCACCATTTTTTTGCTGTAATCCTTTAGTAGCAGTTCCTTTTCTGAGTGTGCCTACAAGTCAATATATAAGTCAGCATTTTACAAAGGTGTCACACCTCCGTCTGGTGCCCTTTTTTTCCTCCCCATGCAGGGCATCTGGTGCAAAGGAAAAGAAGCAAAACAAATGTTCTATCAACTAGCCAACATCCGCTGGTTCTTCTGTATCAAAAACAAATGCTGGAAAAGGGAGCACAAATGAAGCTGATGGGTTTTGTAGCAGCCCTACTAAAGTCCATGGAATAGGCAAGCTGAAGGTGCACACTGCAACACATAGCTTTTTTGATCTCACACCATTTTTTTGTTGACCACACATTTTTCTTTTTCTTTTTTCGTCTAACCATGTACCCTTAAACAATCTGACTCTGAAGCACAATGTCAAAGAGAGCATTCCTTAAAGGATGCCCTGCCAGAGATGTGTGCTCTAGACGCATCAACTTTTGCTGCAAGAAACCATGTAGATGGAGGTACAACTTTTTTGCTTTTTTGTAACTTCTTAATGTTCTTTCTTTTTCTCGTTTTCTTGAACTTACATTCCTAACTCCCTTTTATCATTTTTGAACAACAAGAGTTTTGATACAATACAAAAGGAGGAGGATAGATGCCCAATCAAGCAGCAAACCACATGATCCCCGTTCAATCAAGCACAAGAAGCCTTTGAAAGCTCTTTTGAAGGTACATAATGTGTTTTTTTATTTTTTCATAATGCAAGTTGAGTTCGAAAAAGATTCGTCTAACACAGTTTTTTGTTTTTGTGTTGCATTCTTTTCCTGTAACAGGCTGACAAACAAATCACCTCAAAACAGGTTGAAGAGAAAAACAGTAGCCTCAACTACATGCTTATTGGGGAAGCAAAATAGAACCACGTTCAAAATGTAGCAGAGAGTGGCAAGGAGGGCATCCCAACAGAGCTCATTCAGTCCAAAATAATTTTCACGGAAGCAAAGCCCACAACATTTTCTGGTTTTCAGAACACACCAAGTCAGGAATTGGTACACAAAAATTATTTTTCTTCATGTCACAAGTGGCATTCATAGATTTATTTTGTCAATCTTTTTCTCTTCTTCTATGTGTTTAGTTGTGTCTTTTTTCTTGTTTTTTGTTTGTTTCTTGAAAACACGACCTGTAGAGGAAAAATTTTAGGGGCCGCCCGGATAATCTGAGCATAGACATTAATATAACAGCGCAACCAGAGAGTGGTAAGCAGGTCTTCTATTTTTTATGCTCTCTTTTTTTATAAAAACTGAAGCATAGACATTAATGTACCAGCGCAACCAGAGGTCTCCTATTTTTATGTGTGACTGAAATACTTTATTTCTTTTAGGCGCACATACAGACGAGGTTTTTGCAAGAGGCTATGAAATCATTAGCAACTTTCTAGACAAGGCAAGAGAAAAATAGTTCTTTGTCGATGATAGCACCCCCTCATTCAGGATCTCTGAAGATGTGGATGATTGTGGAAATATAATCGAAGAACATGAATTGTGGAGGCCCGTATGGATGAAGGATGAGTGTTACAATAAAAAGATAGATGCTAGTTTTTCAATATCTTTTTTTTCCAAAAGTGGTTTCTCCTGTGAACATAAACACCATATCTTCAATGCACCTAACATTTTCTTTTTCTCATAAACAGGCAATGAAGATAAAGATTGCCAGAAACTTCAAGGAAGTACAGCCAGAAGAACTTGATATTTGTGTGCAAGGGAATACAAACTTGAAGGTATTCTACCCCCATTTTTTCAAATCTTTGCTATAAACGCTGGCTATTTTTTTGACTTTTTGGGTCTCTCTTGTGTTTTGTTACTTGGTTTTTGTGACGGGTAACACAGAAACAGGGGAGCACCAGTTCAAACTATGAGCTAAGCATTCAGTGTGCCCAAAGGGAAGCACAGAGAAGTTTGATGTATGAGACGCCACACCCCCCAAAACCAGCTGAGGATATTGTTGATTTAGTCAGTTTCGTAAAAAAACTTTCTTGTCTTGTTGTAGTTTATCTGAAATAGGCTTTTTTCTCCAAGCATTTCCAGGGTTGACTTTTTCCTTCCTTTTTTTCGTTTTTATTCACCCTATGTGGCACAGACATCACCTGAAGTTCAAATGTCAACTGGGTGGAATCACAGGCAAACTTGCTACTCACCATGGAAAAATACTAACCAGTACACAGCCGAGATTCCCCCACTCAAAATGAAGAAGATAGTCCCGAAATAGCAAATTTCTCATCAAATACAAGCATGTATTCTTTTTTCATACTAAAACAATCCTTTTCATATGCCTTTTTTTTGCGTTTGGTTCCATTTTTATGTTTCCCCAGGACTACTCCATGGTTCCAATAATAGGAAAAGGTTATTTCTAGAGGAGGTAAGTTGTCAACAAGAATCCAGAGGCAGCAAAAGGAATCCAATACAACTAATGGACGAAAAAACTGTAAGAAGCTGGTTTTACGTGCTCTCTGTTTGTTAATCGTTCTTTTCTTTTTCTGAAATTCTTTTTAATTATGCATCTGACATTTTTATTTTTTCTTGCCCTTTTTGTCTCATATGTATAGTCAGTACAACTCGAAATTCATGGAGAAAACATGTTTAGGCAAGAGAGAAACACTTTGGTCAACAGAATGGATAATATTTACAACACAAATCCCTCGTTAGGAAGGCCAAAGTCAAGCAGTTTCCACGGAAAAGAAAATGTACCAACAAAGAGGATTTTTCAACCTAGCAGGTACTGTAGCTCAGCATATGACTGCAATGAGAGGGGCCCGATAACGCCACATGGGAGGAAGATGTATCAGGCCATAACATCCTTGGCCGTTGTTGAAGGATCGTGAGTTTTTTCTCAGATGCACTAATTATTTTTTGCAAAAATGTTATTTTTTTGCCTTATACTTACTGTAAAGACTTCTGTGCCTAAACCTAACCAGCAAGCTGCCATGTTTTCCTTTTGTTCTATATGTACAACAAACCTGCAGTTCTTATTGACAAAACCATCGCCACATTTGGACAGTTGGGTAACTCGATGAAAGTAGGTGGCCGGGTTTAGGCCTATGTCATAAATGTGTACTGTAGGCACCTATTTAATGAAAATCATCCTAGGAACTCACACAAGCACTATTTTTTCCACACTGCATCTGTAAGCAAATGAAACCCGACTTTTTTCTCTCTGTTTGTTTTGCATGCTTTCCCTTATTTTTTACTTTTTCTATCATCGTACTTACCTACCTTTTTTTATATCTTTCAAAATTTTCATCATTCAACAACTTAAAAGGAATACTTCTTGAGCAAATGGAAAAATGAGGAGGCAAGAATTTTGTGGAGACATAAACTGATTACGAGTTTCATTGGAGCTAGAAAAACACATAATCTTTCAATGTCAGACAAGGTTTTTTGTCAAACTTCCTCTCTCATTTTTTGTACAACACAAGTTCGCCTATAATTTAGTTAATCTTTTCCCTTCTCTGTATACACACTAATTTTTGTTATCCACATTTTGCCTTTTCTACATCAACCCCAAAACGGATATACACAAGCTGTACTTTCCAACACTACACAACGAACATTACTTTTTGTTCGTCGTCAACATCAAGGGTCGCACATTCTATTTTCTGGATTCTTTCTATGATGAGAACATCTCATATCACAAGAACATAAAAAAGAAGATTGTAAGTACAAGGTTTTTAATACTGTTTTATGTTTGTGTGGTGATTATTTTGTCTGCAAGTTTTCCTGCAAATATAAGTAAATGTTATTTTTTATATTTTGAGGCAGATCTCAAGCTTTACATGCACTTGGTACGAAACTCAGCTCCCGCCAATGGAATCCAATGCATTCCCTGCGGTTTACCCTAAAGTCCCTCAGCAAGATAACGAGTACGAAATCAACACTCTACGCTTTTTGTTTGTTTGTTTCCTGACTCCTTCTTGCTTTGTTGTAAAACAATTATACATTTTTGTGGGTTTTGCTTACAAACACTTGTACCCTTTTTTTGTGTGTATGTCTTTTTCAGTTCTGATTGTGGCATTTTCACTTTGAAACTAATGGGATGGTACCCAAGGAACCCGGCCCCTATAGTTTTTTCACCAAAAGACGTCCCGGATGCAAGGACCAGATATGCTGTTGATCTCATGTATAGCCCCTACAACACTTTGTATGAAGAGAAGAAGAGCGTCAAGGAGTTCCGCCTATAGGTTAACCCCATATGCATTTTCTGGTTTTTTCAGACTCCTTTGCTTTATGTTTTTGTCACATTAAGTTTCCCTCTGTGTTTATCCTGCCATGCAGACATCAAAGGTGCCGACAGTTACTAAAAACACACCACCCACAGCGACAAGAGGAGCTGTATCAAGAGTCATATCAGCAAAGTCAAAGGAAAAGAGGAGCTGTATAAAACACATAGTTAGCACTGCTAAAACATTTTTCGTTTGTTTTGCATGAACAGATAATGTACACCCTTGTCGTTGCTGTAGACGTGTATATATGCCCCTATGTCATTTTTTGTTTTTGTTGGGAAACTTGTGCTCCCAAAGGTATTTTTTCCTAGATTGTTCATTTTCACTCGGTAATGTGGTGAAACACAGGAATTATAACAGAGTTTTACTCATGTGTTTGTTTGCACCTTTTCCTGATTTTTTGCTTAATGATTTTTCATGTTTTTCGTGTGGCATCAATACTTTTATGGTGTTTTTCATCTGATGGAGAGGGCCAAGGAGATGACGACACCGACTATTATAAAAGGTTCACGACACAAAGGTCACCCTCTGTTTTTATATCCTTTTCTATACTCATTTTAATGCACATCAGTCATCTTTCGGTTTCTAGATCTCTATATTTTTAGGTTCAGATTCCACCTAAAATCTTTTCTCATGTTTGAGTTTTCCTTTATCATTTTACTCCCGCTAGGGTAGCAAGTTTTGTTCATACAATTTTCAGCTTTACTGCATTTTGTCATTTTACTAATAAAGATCATACAGCAGGCACCAAAAACTTATGAACATAAGGAGGAGGAACAATGCCCATTTGGATTTTTCTCATAATCCAAGGAAACACTCATAAAGATCAAGACCAACATCAACAAGGTAACTTATCCACATTGTTTCCTACCATTTGCGCAGCAACGTAGTTTTCAGTTCATAACCAAAAAAAAGACGAAGAGAATCATGCAACAATTTTCTTCTTCTCTCCTTATAATGTATTTATTGTTAAAGAAGTTTTAACTCTTTTTTTTTTCAAGATGCACCAGTAGTATCTTTTGTGTGCTCCGCTTCTGGCCTGCTTTTTGCTTCCCTCCTGTTCGTTTCTTGATGGGCATCCCCTTTGAAGCACTAGGCGCACTAGTAGTATCCTTCTGTGTACTCCGTTTGTCACCCGCTTTTGGACCCCCTCCTGTTTGATTCTTCCAAGTACTATCCTTTGAAGCACTAGGGACTCCTGTGACAACAAGATTTTTTTCTTAGTTTCTAGGTGCAAACAAATGATAGCAGCAGAGTGATGAGATTTTAAGTAGTAGTCCTTTTAAAATGTGAGGATTGAGGCAAACCTGTGGTCCTTTTGAGGTAGCACCGGCAAGTTGAGGTGTGTTAATACCCTAAATATGTGGCTGCACACAACGCCATCTTTTTCAAACTTTCCACAAATGCAAGCAAAATCCTCTCTCTGCATATCAACAATGACAATATATCTCCGGATTCTGAAATCTTTCTCAGCGAGCATCCTTGTCTTGTACACCTCATACCTTGTGTTTTTCTCAACCTCCTCAACATGCAACTGGCTTGCAAACTTTATAACTTTCTGAAATCTGTAGAATATCGCTCTGTTGTACTTCTCAGCAACCTACAATTCCAGTTCAGTGCCTAGCCAGTAGGTTTGCTTTGTTTTTCTGGTAATCGAGTCTTGTTCTTTCTCATTCTCCTGCATTGCTTTTAATATCCGCTCATACTCACGCAAAAAGGTAATCACACTGAATGTTGAGCCTACATTGTCCTTGAATATGGCATTTGTCCCTTCACTCCGGGCAGTCGAGTGGATGAAAGGGAAGAAGCTTTTCTTGAAATACACTGGGACAAACAACTTTCTGTACTTCCACATGTACCTGAAGTACTTGACATTCTCTATTGCATACTTCCACGTCATCGGTGGCCACAATGTCTCAAACTCTGCCTGGCAGTTATGCATGATGTCGCTGAAGTCAGCATACAAGTATGGTTGTGTTGAAAAGGTTCTCACACATCTTTCCAGAACCTTTTTCATTATGTGGAAGAGACAACACCTATGAAAACACCCTTGAAAACAGCAGGAACCGCAGACTTCATTGCCACATCTTGGTCAGTAATGACCATGAGAGGAGCTTTTCGACCCATGCAGTCCAGAAATGTGTCAAAAAGCCATTCAAATGTGTCCACCGTCTCGTCGTGCACTATAGCACAAGCAAACAAGCAGTTGAGCCCATGTCCAGTGATTCCAACAAATGGTGCAAACGGCATATTGTAACAGTTTGTCTTGTATGTCGTGTCAAAACTCAAACAATCACCATACATCTCATACATTTTTCTCGAGTAGCCATCCGCCTAGAATATGCACAACACCTTGTTGATGTCCTCGTCAGCAACTTTGAATGCATAGTAGAAATTTGGATCTTCCTTTTGTTTGTTCCTAAAGTACTCAAGGACCTGTAGCATATCGCCCTTGCCATTCTCTCTATTTATTTCCGTCCTCACATTGCTAACATATTTCTTAGTGTATGGTGCATCGCCACCTCGCAGGTAAGAAAGAATGGCCATAATCTTCCTATGGGCATTTGTACAGAGTTAAATGTCCTGATAAACAATTCCTCTGTCATCTTCTTGTGCGATATGAGGTACTTGCTCTCGTCTGCAGGGCTAAGGGTGTGGTTCTGGTCCAGGTCAACAACCGTGACAACCCATTTGTCTCCTTTTAGTGTTGCAATCATCTTAGCTTGGCACCCGTCATCTTAGTCTGGCACCCGATTATTTGTATGAAGTTTTTCCTCTTCCTTTTTTCCTTCTCAGGTGGGGGAATCCCTGTTTTTTCTTGCTTCTTGAGCTGCCTCTGTTTTTTTCTTTCTTCAAGCACATCCTTGCCAACAACTTTACCCGAGCAGTTGCACCTGTAAGTGTAACGCGACACTGCCTTGTCACCGGGTTTAGTTGCATGGTAGTTGCCTGCTTTCTTGATTGCAAAACCGCAAATGGATGCATACTCATTGTAGAATGCATGGGCAGCATCACAAGAATCAAAGGCCATGCCCACATGTGGCACATGGTGGCTCCGTACTTCTTGACTGCAAGTCTGAGCCCGAGCCGCACAGACACTGTCATTTTCTGTGAACATGAGTATGTCCTTCAGTGACAGGTGTTCAACATTTCATGTTGCACAGGCCCGCCTTCCTGTTGATCATCACAATCACAGACATTTTTATTTTTTCCATGTGTGTCTGCTTGTTCACCATTGTTTGAAACATCATCAAAGCTCATGCCATCCGTGAAACTAGGGCCATGGCTAGAGACAGCAGGTGCTGAATCATCACCCAAATCACCAGCAAGACTCATGTCCTCAGGGAAACTAGGTCCATGGCTTGAACCAGCAGCAGTTTCATCATCCAAATCATCATCCAAGTCATCCTCGCCTTCATCAAAGTCAAAATCACCATCATCGCTGTCTTGTTCTCTGTACCTAGGTTGGTACCTGCAACCTTGCTGTCCTTCAGCTGTGTTGCCATCCCAGCTCCAGCTAGGGAAACCTTCTGCCCCCACATCTACATTTTCTGCTTGCTGCCTCTCTGTTCGCTGCCCCCCCTCATTTTGTCCTTGCAAACGCCCATACCGCTCAGTTATCATGTATGCGTCATTCTATATCAGCAACAACAAGAATAAGAGAGTATGCATATTTTTTTGTTATTTTTTCTGTCACACATGGGGGAAAGGGCAGTCGGATATGTACATATGTAAATGAATCATACCTCACAAAACTCCCTGCCACCAGAATCTTGTTGTTGACCAGAATGTTGAGATCCACCAATACCAGCCTGTGACCACAAACATGTTATGTAGTTTATATTTTATTTGTTGACATTCTTTAACATTTCTTTTTTTCCACTATACATGTCAAAGTCAACAATATAAAGGCACTTATAGTACCTCTTGATCAGCAGCCATCAACAACTCTGTGTAGCTCATGTAACCACTTCCAAGGAAATTCATTTGCTGCATTTTTATCACCTTTTTGCATGTTAGAATTTGATAATAGCATAAGTTTCTTTCTTTTCTTTTTTTATCTTCTTCAGAGTTATAAGGGTCTGCAGCAGAGCAGAAGAATTTTTTTCTTTTCATGAAAGCACATGACATGAAGAGGGCACAAGCTATCCTTTTTCTCATGAAAGCACATACATGCGTTGCAAATGGACTTGAAGATGTTTGGAATGCCAGTCGCGTCCCAGCTTGTTGCTGCTGCACATATTGGGCACCAATGTATGGCTGCTGCACATAGAGAGTAATGTTCTAAGTTCTTTTCTTTTTGGGGCGACCCAAAAAAATAATGTATTTTTTCTTTCACAATCTAATGGTTTTGTTCTTTTTTGCAAAAATAAAACATCAATCTTACATGAACCGATATTACTGGATCAACTAGGACTTGTCCACGACTGATTGGAGTTCCTTGTGCCATAGTTCCACCCGGCACCTACACAAATGAAGAAAATCATTATTTGTGAGGTATATATTTTCTATCTTCTGTAGTCAGCAAACCAGATGTTACACATACTCTACATTTCCATCTTTTGTATAGATCCATTCTTCTTATTATTATTACTAAGCATGGCAAACTTGAACAGTCCATTCCAACTGGTGCTTGTTTTGTTTTTGTCCAGAGAGTGAATGGGCAGAAACAAACAAACCACTGTATCAGATCTTGAAAAAAAGCTCAGTTTTCAGTGTATTTTGTAAAGGGGTAATCACATGACACTACTTGTTCAGGGGAGGGGTCATGTATAAGAATTTGCTGAATTTTTACCCCTAGTTAACTCTGTTTTTTTTTTGCCCTGAAACATGAAATCAAAACAACCCATATACATGTTTCTGTAGGGAGGTGTCCAGCACCAATTTTGTTCAAAAAATGTCAAGAACAACAACAAATTTTCAACTTCTCTGTCCACAACAAGCATACAACCTTTTCT